TTAAAAGAAAGTTCAGCCATCTTTGCATGTTCAGATTAAGTAAGATGTAGAAGTATTGCACCGAATACAAAACAGGTCCCCAAATAGAAGGAATTGCAAGTCTGAGGCTGTAGTTCAATCTTGTACCTGTACTTACATCCACAATTGTAGTATTCATTGAAATTATTGGTGTGTAATAACTAGTGCTTGGTTATCTTGTAGAACAATAAGGAATGGGTACTACTTTCATTCATTCACAGGATTTGGGTGTTGCTGATTAGGCCAGCATTTATTGTCCATCTCTAGCTGCCCTCGAGAAGGTGTTGGTAAAGTGTTTTTTTAAACTGCTGCAATCCAAGCACCGCACGTAGCCTCTCAATGTTGTTAGGGAGTGAGTCCCAGGGTTTTGATCAAGTGACACTGAAGAAACAGAATCCTACAGCTCATGTTTATAGTGTGATGACAGTTGTGAAGAGAAAGGATTTTGTTCAGACATTAGACAGATGAGTGAGGACAGCCTGATTTTTAATGGGCTGCTCTGTAAATGTCTTGGGTATTAGAGAATCTTAGCTTTTAGAAGCATTAATCATTAAACTTGCTCTATGTTTCTCATGAGGTTGGTACCAGAAAGGGGTTACAGTTGTGAAGAGAAATATAAGGTGTCAGAGCTTTTCCACTGAAGCGGAGGAGGCCTCAACAAAGAACATCAAGGTTAATATCAACTTTGATACACATTTGCCACTGGTCAATGATTGGTCACAGAAGATAATACATTTAAGATAATGGCAAAAGAATTACAAAGTAAATTTGGAGTAAATTAGTTAAAAAAGGCAATTAAACTGTGGGATTTTCCATCACAACTGAAGTTAACTTGAAGAAAATAGATGCCTTAAAAAGGTCAGTATTACAGGTTAATGAGGGAAAAGCACAGTGGTGTTAGTTTAAACGTTCACATGAAGAGAAATGCTGGTACAGAACTAGTAAGCTGGATGGCCCATTTCTGTGCTGTGGTGTTCTATGGTTCATTGGTAGGCTTCCCACTGTCTGTGTCCAGGACCACCCTATCGCACTTGTGCACTGACGCATTTAATTAGCTGGAACCAAGTGCAAACAGTCCTAGCTGCAGTGACGCCTGCAGTTTATTTCAATCAACATTGTCCTTGAGTAGTGTGAACCTACTTAGTTTAGAAAGTTGACCTCATTTTGAGCTTCTGTAGACAGGTGTGTCAATTTGGAGCAGGTTTAATCTGAAAGGGACCTTGGGCAGAATCTTCTGCCCCTTGAGATGCTGAACCAGGAGGCACAGTGATAGAAGCAGCAAGGGTGTGTTTATGTGAGTGGACTAGTGGCAGACTCAGTGTCCACTGCCTCCTTGCCTCCACCACACTGGTTGGCTTTACCATTCCATTGTCAACTGAGGCCTTTAAGTTGCTAACTAAAGAGCATTTAATTGCCTCACCTTGCCACCACTGGGTTTTTTTAGACACAAGCAGGTCTGTCACTGTCGCACATCCAATATATCAACTATGCTGGCAGCTTGTTTCATTGGAGAGGGAAAGTCCTTTGTCACACAATGCCCAATTGCCTGTTGACATCCAACCCTTTTGCTTTCTTCCAAGTCTCCTGCCGCTCTCTCCCCAGTGACCTGCAAACCCCCTCTCCCATAACTCACAAAACACTTCATAGTCTGGGGTTATCAGCAATCCTAGACCACCTGGAGTGTTTCTCCAAAAGTCATGGCCTGGCCTTTCACCACCTAGAGTCCTGACTCCAGGTGAAGGTCCGCTGAAAACCTCACCACTGCCTGATCGTTGTTTAATTTGGTTAGAACAGGTCTCTTGCTGGGCATCAACTGGCTGGATCAAAATTCTGGAACCCTTTTTCTAAGAGCATTGCAAGTGTATCTGCACCACTGCAGTGATTCAAAAAGGCAGCTTCGTCACTTTATCAAATGGCAATTAGATTTGGGCAACAAATGTTGGGTTTATCAACAATGCCATAACACATGCAAGAAAAAAAAAACACAGCATCTAACACATGCATGCATTGTTACTGTGCTAGCACAGGATGAGCAGGCAGACTAGTTAGAGATCCAGTGCTTCAGTATCACTTGATTTTACATCTGCAGCTTCATCTTTTTAGGTATCAAACCATGAACAGTTGGTTTCTGACCGGCCAAATGAACGATATCAGCCTCAAGGATGATAGAAATAGATAGTGGGATTATGCACATCAAGGTGTTCAAGTTCAATTGCATGTACTGAGAAAGGGAAAGACTCATGATCAAAATGATATCACAATTTGCTGGAACATATATAGTCCAAGGTGACTTATCCTGAGAATTAGTTTGGAAAACAGACGTGGTATGTAGTGAGAAAAAGAAAACCTAATTTTTAAAATAAATTAGTCCATACAAGACTCTGTGTTGTCACTGTTGGACATGTCCTATTTTACTATTTACACATTTAACTATTGAGGTTAATTCATCCTTTTATTGGATCTTCTGAGGACAATAGAGGGTAAGCATATAAGATCACACATAGAGATAACAAGGTGTAGAGCTGGATGAA